AAAAAAAAGAAGCAATGATCTGGATTCCTATTATTAAATCTTGAAACATTTTTTAACATTTGAATGGTTTAAATAATTTAAACTTTAAAAATAAAATTTGGTAAAAAAAATTTACGTTCTATATTTAACATTTTTTTGAAAGTTTACGGCGGCGGCTGCATCCCTTGTCCCGAGATGGCTCCGTCCCTGAGTCGTTGGTCCAAACTGAATAATCGTTTTAACTAGCAATAGTACAAATTTCTAACCTTTCAAAAATCAACCTCCCATTTCGTCCTCATATGTGTTTGCGTTCTGTTCTTTGTTTCCTTGATATCAACAGCCCGACTTGACATTATCATGTCTTCAGCTTCCCTCAAAAATAAAGCATAGACCAGTTCCTTATCCTTCCACCAACTCCAGTTTCATTCTTCTCACCACTGAAATGAGGAATACTCTCTCCTTCTTGATAATAACTCTGATATATTTAGCAGTAGCAGTGCTCAGTGCCGAAGAATTTACCAGATATGACTTCCCTCCTGGCTTTGTTTTCGGTTCTGGCACCACTGCTTATCAGGTCTGTTCCCCCTATTGTGTATTCATCATTTTCTTCCCATTTTCTAATTTCCTTTCACTTTCATTTTAGTAAACACTGCAATATTCTAAAGAATGAGAATGCTTATGTTGATATATTGAAGGTAGAGGGAGCAGCAAGTGAAGATGGGAGGACTCCTAGCATCTGGGATACCTTTTGCCATGCTGGTTGCCTCCTATTACTCATATTCACTACTTAGTTTTCCAAGCCCTTTTGATGTAGGACTAGAAGAGATAGAAGAAGGAACGAACGGAAACAGAAGAATTTAGGGTTTTGGAAATTATCTCAATGAATCAAAGTGTGCTTGTAAGTTGTAATGTCATAACAAGACCATTTATAGGGTAAAAATCCAGGTCCAAACTAAATACGAAAATAATAATAATAAAGTTTTCTAAAATTATCGAAAGTACTAAATAAATAAGTCCATGTACTAAATTAGTACTCAAACTTCCTACGAAAATAACACTACATAGAGTGCCTGTTGCCGTGAGGCGGTGCGCCATCACCTTTTCTTATCTATGTTCTTTGCAGTAAATTAACTTCTATTGATTGTGAAATCGGAATTTGGAATTAGTTTTAAATTTTTTTGTTACTGTAATACAAATTATGG